AAAAAACAAAAAACAAATGTGACTAGTGCCTCGAATGAATGTCTTGTTTTTAGTTTTGCTTTTGTGGAAACCAGTTGTATGCGACCAAGCTTGTTTTCATAAATTCGTCTTTAGAAATGCAGAATTCCCTGCATGGGTGCATACACAATTTGTAGTAATATTGGTCGATCGGTAAGTTGAGTTAAGTAGTTGGCAAACTAGTCAAAATGATTGATTGCTACGTATAAGAATAAGAGGTAGGGAGAGGGTGAACACTCATAAGTTAAATATATGGAATTTTCTTTACCCCACTGTGGTAAGATCGGTTGTAAGTCATCATCGCGTGAAATGGTTCACAATCAGATTCACTTTCTGCATAGGTTCGAGACCAGCCACGGCAGCTGGAGTTCATCAATCAGTTCTTCTGTGCACACAGTTATTGGGTTCAGCAGTTTCTACGTCATTATTGTACACGTGTGCGAGTAGGGTTGAGTAAATGTTCGGAAGTCTGACAACCAAGGTGAATTCTACCAAGACATTATCATTCTCTCCGTCATACATTCCTTCAATTTACTTTCGTGAATTTTGTGAACCAATATGAAGTGTCCATTTACCAGTCCCGCGAGTTGTGGTGATCCTGGCCTACGAGGTGACGCACATCACGGGGTAACAAGTTAAGGTTTTTGGACAATTGTAATGAATCAAGCTTCATAGGTGACGTCACTAATGCGCGTGCGTGTCACAGCTTCTGAACTACAAACAATAGGTTGATTGCACCAGCCAATCAGAAGCCGTGCGGCCCAGACAGAAGCTGGGCAACGCTGGAAATACCAGAACGCGATTGACAGAGGTCTGGATGACCAATGAGTTTGTTTTGTATCTATTATTTAATCCCCCTAATTTCTATCACTAAACGAACAACTACTTCTGTGGCCTTTTCCTCTCGTCTCTGTTATATGGGATATTGCGTGCAAATACCAGTGTGATTGAGTGCTTACGTCTCGCCCATGATTGCTAATCCGTGATTCGTATTTCGTGTTGGGTGCATACTACAAATACTACACTAGTGTTGACATTCGTGTATAGTATCCAAACTGAATTAGTGTGCACAGCTGACACATAACTGTGATATGAATTTTTCAAGCTGACAAACCGTGCCCATTTGGTTACGCCATGGTCGTTGATTCTCTGACCCTGTGTGTTTCTAAATAGACCTCGGTTCTTACGGACCACGGAGGCCACATTTTTCGCAGTCAGTAATCGTTGTGGTGCAATGCGCGGTCGTACACTGGTTTTCAATCTTTCCGGCAAAACCAACGGGCTTGGCACACTGGTACGTTCGTCCTATTAGACTCAATATTCATAGGCTACAAGTAATCGAATCCTATTATTCTATTTTCATTGAATACCTCAGGACCAGAACACGTCTAAGGATATGCAGTGCAACCGATCAGAAGTTGAGTGTTGAGGCATCATGAAATCCCGGGATCATGGAGCTGCCAGTCGTAGGTTCGAAACCGCAACCTTCGAGTCGATGGTGACTTTCATGGTTTCATTTTCATCTATGAGAAGTATAAAAGGATTTTTAGCTACCTTGAATATCAATAGTCGTTCAAATCCATCAATCTTGTATATAGTAGTGCGGATCGAACCAAGATTCTTCGGCATCCTATTAGTAACACTTTGCTCATACTGGAGCAAGTCTTATAAAAGTTGTTTTGTTCGGATCATAACCACCGCAAATCTACTCTTGACTGTTTTTTAAACCCCGAAATTGATTCCATCATATTTTGATATTCATTTTGATGCACTAACTCAGAGGCAATTCGATGATTCGAGTACAAACACTAACCGGCATTATCCAAATCGGTTTCTGTTTCAGATATTTTGTAGTGGCATGAGGATTATTACTACTGATAATAATAATTTATTATATGATGGATGGAAAGTAGCGATTTAATTCAATTGACCAACAGGATTCGAGTTTGACGGTTAGTTTGATGGAGTTTGAAGACGCTAAAAACTTTGATCGAAGGCCGAACAATACAGGGTTCGAAGAGTAAAGAAATTCGGATTAATCCGTTCGATTTTTGAATGCATTTATTTGCGATCGAAATATTTGTGCTGCCAGACAAACAGCACTGGAAAGCTGTGTAATCTCGTTCGAGAATCGTCCCTGTCGGGGTTTGAACCGCGAACGCTCTTGATGGGGTTTAAAACCCCTACTCCTAAGCTGCCTGGTCGGTGTTCATCACTCTGAGCGAACGGTTTAAGCAATTGGGGGTAGCAAATTTGGAATAATCTGTTCCATTGTTCACAGGCGCCAGGCACTGTTGATGATTTTGGTTCTGAGTTTTACCCTTTTGAGAGATCAGTCATTCTCCACTAGTTGAGAGTGCATTTAAACGCAATGGAAATATTCAATGACGAGTCCCAAGCAGGATGAAACAACTGTTCAGTGCTCTGTGTCAATCATCACAAATTTGGAGGAAACTCATTTTCTCTCTCTCTCTATTTGGCTTAGCTGACAAAAAATGGGTCTTGATGACTTGTGAAGTTTACCACGATCTTGCTTCACAGATTTATTTTCGACGGATAGCAGAATGGTTTTGGGACAGCGATTTTATTTACCTTCCTATCTTCAGACGCCCTAGGTGTGAGGTTGTAACTTTTGTTTTACGGACTAGCCAGTTGAAGGGACCTAGATATACATTATATCACATCGCATCAAGGTTCAAACTCGTTTTGGATCAAAATTTCCACAAAATCACACTTCAGTACTTCTCCAAGTATTCAAATAGATATCTATCGTATCGTATCGAATGAATGAAAAATTCATTTGATAGATAGCAAATAAATTCATTTTTTTAGACGTTCATGATTCACCAACCGTTTAAATATCCGATCATCATCGATTTTATCCCACTAAATCACCAAGTAGTCAGATTATGATTGGTTCCAATCGAGTCACAACCCCGGGGCAGGAGGGGTGGGTGGGAGGGGTTAGTGTTGAGATAAGCGAGGAGCGATGCTCGCAACAAGCTCACAAAGATGGCTTGTGCTATGTCATGTATCAGGAAGACGAACACCCGTCTAATCATCTTCCCGGTGACCGAATGGGTAACATGCTTTACGTTCTACCTGTGATGGTTTTGAAGTGCCAGTAGGAAATTTCGTGGTTCAAGTCCGGACAGGGATGTCACCTCGTTAAAATCCATTCAACTAGTGGGGAATCAACGACCTCCTACGAAGTGGAACCCCACACTCAAGACCATCACTAGCGCCTGGTGCTTCTGTACAATAGAATCCAAACATTATATGGTTGATTCATCGTATAAATGAGGTTTGAGCTGAAAACTAGGAGGTTTTGTACAATTTTTTCGATCTATTTGGGACGCATGAGCAGAGTCCATCGACCCAACTTGGGATCTAACCCCTGGGCATCATAGGGAAAACACTAGTATACTATACACTCGGCCACCGGGAAGTCGACCAAACCGTCTCTCATTTAAAATATAGACAATATAGCATAAACCTAATACTCTAAATTGATTGAGCCATTAATTTAAGGTGACGACCGTCGACCGTGTAGCTCAGAAGTGTGTTTGAAGTCCCAACCTGAAGGTTCGCGGTTCGAATCATAACAGGGACATGAAGAGTACGCACTGTTGATGAGTCCCAAACAGGACGGAACAGTAGTCCAGTGCTATTTGTCGTTCAACACATAAGTTTCCGCCTTCGTTTATCCGACTGAATGCATGTTTATCAAAGTATCCCAGTTGAAATTGAAACCCCTTGATGCCTCGTTCTCAATCCGACTGGCTGTCCCGAAGAATCCGTTTTTTTAAATTGCATGTCGAATCCTGGACACACCAAGCCACACCAATATCACTGATCCACTCATATTTAGTCACCCATTCAACTTACACAACAGTTCCTTCAATTGGTGTTCAACTCGGATATCTCGATTGCATGAACTAAATAAGACCAGTATACGGTTACTTAGGCATATTCGCACACTATTTCCATCATTTTTCAACAATCCCATCACCCATATGTTTTACCGGTGATTCGAAATCTATTCAGCCCATCAGTGCGGTTTCGGCACCGTGTTACGAGCTCAAAGAACTAACCATCCCGGTCCACAGTCCGTATGCCCAAACGGCAAACTTTGCAGTCAACATTTACGAGTCCACTGGTGATGTGTTCATTGCGATGTGTCAGGCAAAAGGTTTAGATTTACCGCCTGGTCGAGTTGCGCATGAGGATTGGATGAAGGATGAAGAACGTGCGGATGATGGAACGGACAGTCCGTCGGAATACACGACTGAAGCAAACCGTACAGACAAGAGTCCATTTGTGGGTGAGTAGTGGCTCGATTGGCTGGGGGTAAAGTCCTCGTTTATCCTCCTTCACCCCCCTGGGTCAAAGGTTGTTGTTGGGTACTCATAATTTACTCCTTGATGGATTGTCCTTGAATGCGGGAGATATGGCAACAGAGCTTAAGAGATTTAATTCGCATACAAGAATAACAAAACACAATCTCTGTCTGCCTGAAATGTGGCAACAGAATGGTTCCGAATTAGATCAGTGCAATTTATAGTACTTTGACCTAATAGTATGATGAAACATCCCTTTGTTCATCCGTCGAAGGATGGCTTAAGCACTGAACTCCATTGTGGTGATCGTGTAACGAGTACGCACGCACCGCGGTACAGCCTCCAGGTAACCAATCAAGAAACGGAATAACCGACTAATCCTGTGGTCTCAATTGGCATCATCCGGATTGGCTGAGTGCAAGAACGCAAACAGATAAACCAAATCCTTGTCGATTGGACACTCAAGAATCGACCAATGATTGTTTGTTACTTGTAATATATATTTCCATGATTTTAATAATAGAATTAACTTTATCCACAGCTCGTCTTAGTTCCACCTGGCTTTGCGCTATTCAGTGGGTTTTCAGTCCGATACCGAGTTCGCGCCAATCGATT